ACACACACACACACACACACACACTGAAACACATGCAGATACACAGATACAAACACTGACACTCACAGTAACACACATGCAGATACAGACTGACACAGATACACAACCTGACGCACATACAGAGACATATATACAAAAACTAACACATATGGATACTCAGACACACTGATGCATATACTGACACACATGCAGATACACAGATATACACACACAGGTACACACACTGACAACATACAGATACACAAATACATACAATGATAACATACAGATACACACACTGACACACATACAGACACGTAGATACACAATCTGACACACATGCAGATGCAGACCACATAGAGAAACATAGATATACTAAATATAGATACACAGATATACACACTGACATACACACACAGATATACATACTGACAACATAGTGACACACACAGACAGACAACATACACACAGAAATGGTGATACACACACACAGACTTACTGACAGACTTTATTTAAAGACCGTGAGTATAGCCGTTCATACAGCGTTTATTTACACACACATGTATAAGAACAATATATATATATATATATAAAGGATATTTCTATATAATGTACATGTTTTCTATTCACTAGCGCCCATATAAATTGTGAATAGTTTGAGTGAATCTAAAAAAATATAGTAAAATGTGTGAATGTATTATAATGAAAGAATAACGCCCAAATAGGTCTATATGACATTACATTGAATAAATAAAAAAAAATGTATGTGTGATAATGATAAATATCAAATTAAAAATGTATGTAGATGCGGTTTGTGTGGTAATAAATAACTACTAAATCGCGAAGAAGAAAAAGGAAATTTTTTTTTACCTACATATATTACAACAATTTAATTATGATACATCATTATAAAACCATGAAGCTAAATGTAAATTATCCTAATTAATAAAACAAGACAATCTAGACCTGCATTAAGTCCGTTGGGTTCTAATGTGCCGAACGTATACCTCCAGTAGTTTTTTTTTTAGAATATTTTTTAAATGTCTCCAAGTCTCCATTGTGTTTTGACTTGGTCAATACCTATTGCATAGAATTCCCGGAGTGTAACACTGTTACAATGTATTGGAATCAGATATTTTTGAAATTTATTTTTAATGTTTTTACATTGTTCGAAGACTCTGTTTCAATTTTTTTTTTGTGATTGTTCCACATATTGTCTGCCACACAGGCAGCACAATAAATATATTAGAATTCTGTGTTGAAGCCTAAACAAAATATGAAAAAAAAATAAAAAAATCAGATGGAAATAGTTAAAGGGATAGCGACAACACATTTATCAAGAGTCAGAAATTGCATGAAAGATGAGGATTTTAAAATGCAGGCTGAGATAGTAAAAATGATGAAAAATAAACTTGTTTAAAAAGGATATAATAAAAAGAACATAGAAAAACAAATACGATGATTGACTAAAGTAAAACAGGAACTCATAGTGTGAGAAAAGAAAACTATTTTCAATATGTTTTCATAACAACATTGGACAATAGAAAACATCATGAAAGAAACATTGGCCGGTATTATTAAAGGATCCGTTATTAAATGGTTTGATCTAAACAGCCTCCAGTTATTTTTAGACAAGCACAGAATATTAAACATAACATAGCACCAAGCTATCAGAGGGACACAGGAATCTCCAGAATGATCGTCATAATATTAAACCTTTGCTTGAACTACAATTCGCAAGGAATATACTAATCCCTGTTCTATAAAAAGTTATGTCTAAGAAGTTGATCTCAGAAGTCCCAGGAGAAAACGTCAGCTCAAAATGTTTTCTAAATTACATCAATTTAATTTTTTTTTAACAGGAATCTGGACCTCTCCAAATATTGCTAATATCATCAATAAATCTGCACCGTCCAGATAAATCAATCCTCCCGATATCTCATAAAGACAATGGCATAGCTGTGGGCAAACCTGGTTCTCATGGCAGTACCTGTTATCTGTAAAAAGAATCCTCTGTTAAAAATAAAATAGATAAGTTCCTCTATAAATTCAATAGATGTCCAAATAAATGCCCTTAGAATATCAGATATTTCACTATCCTGTAACAAATACCAATTAACAGCTTTGAACCCTAATTTGTGTATAATTACTGTATATAATGTTGTAAAATCTAGTGTTATCCATCTAAAATCCTCCTCCTATTCAATGTTTTCATTTCTAATATTCTATTTGTGTATAATTCTATATATGGTTTATAAATTAAACTTATTACAACTGCCCTGGCTGTCAATCACAGTCCTGTCACTTCCTGGTTTAATTAGCTCAGTGGAGATAAACACAATTACTCAGAACACCGGCCTTGCAAAGACTTCTCATTGAGCTGCATTGGGAAGCCTGTGATTGGACAGCCACAGAAAGTCTGGGCGGGGTTAGAAGGGGAGGGCTTGTAAAGGCTGTAGAGATGAGATCTACAACTTCTACGAACAGGTTTTGGATATAACCCGCAATGAAAAAAAAAATTAAATTAAATGCGTGCACATTGATGCTTCATAAATTCATAAACCCAACATCACCCTTTGTTGTGGTGTCAAGCTAAGCGCATCTTCAACCCAGAGAATGAGTGTGAATGACAGATGCAAAAATCACTTTTAATATCACAGTCAGTTTGTGAAAAATATTTTAACTTTCAGTACCTATTGTCAGACGGATTCGGCTAAATCTAAGGTTCCCCTGATGTTTGAGACTTTATATTCAGCAGTAATGAGTAAGTTATATGTAGATTGACACAATATACAATGATTTAATTTATTCCATTTACCCATTCACTGCCAGACATAACAACAATTACCTTCTCTGGTAAGAAGGGGTTAACAGTCCAAAAATTTAATAATTTGTAATAATTTAAATACACTTTCTATCCATTTTGTGTTATTTAAATAGACACTTACACTGATGTCCCTTCAAAATCAGTCAGTGAATTGTTTGTCAGCAGGAAGGTGCCAGCATTTAATGGGTTAACATGATGTTCCAATAGTTTACCCACATTTTCAATGTATAACACAGATTTATTCCTGCACCCGTGTTAATCCTGCAATATGTATTTTATATACGTTCCCAAAAAGGGGTAAGAGAGGCGCACACTGTGTCTGAAACACAAACCAGAATTATTCAACTAAAACCCTTAAAATGTCCGTGGCTTAGGGAATCCCACCCAGTTAGCAGCTGAAGGGTTAACCCTTCAAGAACAAGGGGTAAATAGAGTTTATTCAGGGCACTGCCAATAGATGCCCAGCACTTTATTTATTCGTAAAACAAGAATCATTCTTTACAATTTCTGAAGAATGCCCCCACAGCAGCCAGTATTGATACGGCCTAGAGATCGACGATCTGCCAGAACAGCCTCTGGCCAACCCGTGGATCCCTGTTTTACAGCAGCAGTAAGGCGAGTCCAGCACAGTGTATACGGGAAATTTTAGACTCATCCTGTTTGAGGCAGTGTGTCCATTTATGTTCAGCTCGGGAGGTGTTCTGAATTAAGCCTCCGATATCAGGTCACTTTCCTGGCAATGACAAAGGTCTTGGCATTTGGCAGAGGACGAGTATCGTTCTGGTGGCTCCGTCGCTCGATAAAGCAGGCCAGACGGGACGTGTCTAGAGGAATTTTTGAGTAGTTGCTGTAATGAGGCTGTAACCACGGATGTTGCAGGCATGTGGCAACTGTAGGCCGCCAGCGAGGGTCAACCTGGAGAGTAGCCTTTATAAAGTCTTGGGCTGCCTGACTCACGGCGGTGAAATATTCCTGGGGGAAGGAGAAATCTACCCGGCAGATGTTCATGCAGGTCTCCTCACTGCTTTCATCGAGAAACGGAGAAACCCCACTCAGCATGACATACGTCAGCACCCCCAAACTCCAGATATCGGTCGCCAGAGAGACTGGTGTCCCATGAATGACCTCAGGAGCTGCAAACTCGGGGCTCCCCAACAGCTGGTGGATGTAATAATGTCCAGTTATCTGAACTGCATCTTCCAGATCTATTATCTTCACCCGAGGAACTGGTATACGCAGATCGATGAGCAGGTTCTCTGGCTTGAGTAACAGAGTAAAAGGAGAATGTATTACTCCGACATTTATCACAGCATATTATTACTATTTGTGTTTAACATTTTATATTGTATTTCAATATTCATTAATAAAAGAATTTGACAGCATGTAATATTTTTATTAAACCCTTTAACGAGGAGGGTGAGTAAATGGGTATTTATCTTTTTAGAATTACCCCTTGGGGCAGAGTATCAGTAAAACATGAATCGGTAGGATACGTTCTGCTGGAAGCCAGGGATCTGTACAGTGTGATAAGCCAAATTAATTGGTGTTCATCACATCCT